AAAGAGGAAGCTATAAACCACAGAAATTTTTGGTGATATCCTATTGACACCTTTGTAAAATTCTTTCTGACAAGAAAAGAAGCTTAATTATGGCAAGGGTCTTTTGGATGAGGGTAACTGGTCTGCTTCACCCTTACAAAGCAGTAAAGAATTTTTTTTCAATGCTAGGGATCAGACAAATGGGTTGCACATGCTAGGCAAGTGGTCTACCACTAAGCTATACCCCTAGTTCCAGAACAAATTTTATTTAGGACAATTGCAGTAGGGGAGTAGAGACCTCAGTATAGAACTGGACTCAATTCTGATTACAGCACAAATAAGTGGAAATTTATAAGCCAAGGAACATGGTGGTGGTTCTAGGTAGACATGAACAGTGGGAATATGGTGTTTAAAGGGTTGATTCTATATATACCTGAATAATATGGAAAACAACATCTTCCTAGAAAGGGGAAATGACAACCCCCAGGGCTGAGGGAGGACAATGGGTCCTGGGAGAGAAAAGGCAAACAAAGTGCCTTGTGCTCTCTCTGGTCTTTCCTCCTTTCCCAGTATCCTGGAGGGGAAGGCAAACAAATGGGCTCTGGGCTCTGGGCTCTGGATTATTATCCCAGTAACAATGAGTTTCAACCTTTTACAAATGTTTTCCTGAGTTAGATGTTTAACCTGCACAACTAGTTTCCTGACTGTCCAACCAACATGTCCCAAGTCTCTCATGATTAAGTCACACAAAATCTTCTGCTATGATTAACTCTCATTAAGATCTATAAAAAACAAACCTCTCTTTTAACCAATCACCATTTTCTCCCCTGAAAATGTGCCATTCCACTACTGCTTAATAAAGACAGCTTGCTGAGCTGTTTCCAGGTATTTTTGCTTACATGAGCCTACATGCTAACTCTCAGCATGTCTTCCTTTGAAACAATTCACACAAGGCCATTCTAACTCAGCTGTGCTTTAAATATAATAACAGTATTTGGGCTGGGGTTGTGGCTCAGTGGTAAAGCTCTTGCCTAGCATGTGTGGGGCACTGGGTTCAATTCTCAGCCCCACATAAAAATAAACGTGAAAAATACAATCTGTTAATAAAAACATTGCAGTATTTACAATCCTTGACTAAGGAGCTTATTGTTTTCAGGATGTTCTGGTCCTTGTCCTGATAGGCTATGATTCTGCCTATCCAGGGAACAGAGGGTTTTTAAAGAGGTGATTCAAAGGCTACTGTCCACATTTACCCTGATGTAATTCATTTGTTAATTTGAGAGATAACCATTTCTTAAATCTTCTGGTTCCATCCCCAGAGATCCATTTACTTCATTCCTGTGATTGATGTGTGCTCAAGGACAGATAACTGGGCCTAGGATAGAAAAAGGGTAAACCTGTTTCCCCAGAAGTTAGGAAAGGGAAAAGGGAGAAGAGAAAAAAAGAAAGTCAGCTTTAAAATAAGCCTCATTGGAAAAGCAACAAGGGATATATTCAAAACATGACATGGACCACTGTCACATTCTTTTATCTAGGGCTGAGGAGCACAGGCCCCAAAACTCCTTTACTAATAAGAAAAAGAAAAGGAAATCAAAGAACAAAGCACAAGTTACACTGATCTGGGATGGATCTGGATGAAAGAGGATCTTTGACTTTACACAAACCAAAATGACCTAGAGTTTCTGTTCAGTAGAAACATGCACAGTAGGGACCAAAAAATATGATACAATCCTACCATCAGTCAAACGAGGTTGTGCTTAGTGATAAACCCAGCCTAATTTCCTCTTAAGACTGGGAACCATCTCGTCACATTTTATTTTGTGAGCCCATTTTGGCTTTACTATAAATTACTGTGATTTCTAAACTTGCTTGGAATGCCTGCCCATGTCTTGAACTCACCCATGCCT